GAACTTCCCTGGAACTTCAGCTTAACCTAGACTCAGAACATAATTTATTAAATCCACCTATCTACATAAATGGCCTCTCTGATTAAATCCCTAAAGTAATTAGTTTATAATTCTCTCCTTCTGAATTCTATTCAGGCCATTCTGTTATGCTGACATTGTATTTGTTTTTAAAGGGTAGTTTCAGCACCCCTGTCTAACACTATTTCAAAACGCTGACTCTTCCATTAACTGGAGAGTTGTGGTTCCAGTATTCGCTAGACCAGCGGTTCTCTACCTGTGGGTTGTGATGCCCTTGGGGGTCAAACTACCCTTTCACAGAGGCTGCCCAATTCATAACAGTAGAAAAATGACAGATATGAAGTAGCAACAAAACTAACTTTATGGTTGGGGGGTCACTACAATGTGAGGAGCTGTATGAAAGGGTCACAGCATTAGGAAGGTTGAGAACCACTGCTGTAGACCATTTCTCCCCCCACTGGGTCTATCTCTGTTATTTAGTAGGTCCTTAATATTTAAAAGACATTGTAGATGTGTTTGAGAAAGTAAGAGTGAGAGTTGGGGAAGTATTAATAAAGAACTCAGTGATACAATTATATGCACAATTTTAGGTACTATTTAATTTCTTAAATTCTCACCTAAGTTTAAAATTGGGAATGAATTAAATGTTAATAGTGGATTACATTTCCTTGCCTAGAAAAGTATACAGGCAATGCTTTTGTCTTTCAACTATTAAACAGGGGTATTTTTATAGCTATTATGATTTCAATTAAAATGGATGAGACTTGTTTAAATATAATGAGATGTATTTTTGGCCTTATCATAATTTGCAAATATATTCTGTAATTTTAAAAAATTATTTTTAGGTGTTTTATAACTGCAGTTGTGTGGACATCACTGCTTTCCAAAACAGAACTAACTCGGCCCGTTTGGGTGAATGCCCAAGAATTGATAGGTGCAAAAGGAATTTTTACATATATATAGCACTACAAGTTACAGTTAGTCTTGCCACTGCAATGGGAAGTACCCCTGGTATGATGCTGGTTTTTAAGTGAGTATTACCTTTTATAAGCACATATAAGAATGTTACATTTTATTTTTCTCATAATCCATTGCACTAGGACTATGATACTGGAATGCCACAATGTATACTAATTTTCCCCTTGATTCTTCTATTAACAAAATCTAGGTTATATTCTTTCTTCTCTTGCCAAGAATTTTAGGATTAAGGCTGATTAGCAACTGATGCAGTCATATAGCACTTCAGTATGTTTCTAAAATCTTTTAATTTTAAGATACCCTACATTCTGGGCCTGCCCTGGTGAATCTTCACCTGAATTTGTTTAAAGAAAACTTTTGGGAGCCACACTATATAATATAAACTTCAGTGCCATTAATATTTCAAAGTTTTAAATCCATCTTCAGAATGGGTTTTTGAACTAGTCTCTGATAATGCTTTATAAGACAAGAGATAAACACTGAAATAGAATTCCTTCTTTTTTCAATTATTAAACACGTGTAGAAATATGCCACACCTGACAAAGAAGACTTGTATTTCATGATTAATAAAATCCACACAATATCTGATGTCACATAGATTGAAGTCTGGCAGGCAAGACTGACATGAAGCAAGTAAATATAAAAATAAAAAAATCACTAAAATGTGGTATATGTAATAATTTTTGAAAGA